GGTGTGTGTGTGTAGAATGTTGCTCCTATTTTGATTTTGGAATTCACTCTTCAGTTGTCAAAATGCCGTCCAAGCAAGAAGAGCAGCGTATCAAAATTTTGCTCGCGCATCGCGAAAATCCGAGCTACTCGCACGCAAAGTTGGCAAAATCGCTAAAAGTTGCCAAATCAACCGTTACAAATGTAATTAAAGTGTTTGGGGAACGTTTGTCGACAGCCAGGAAGTCTGGATCGGGGGGAAATCGAAAACCGGAAGCCGCTGAGACGACAAAGAGAGTTGCCGGTAGTTTCAAGCGAAACCCTAACCTCTCTCTCCGAGATGCCGCAAATAAGCTGGGTGTATCGTCTACAACCGTGCATCGAGCCAAAAAACGAGCCGGACTATCGACTTACAAGAAGGTAGTGACTCCAAATCGCGATGATAAACAAAATACGACGGCCAAAGCGCGATCCCGGAGGCTGTACACGACGATGCTGACGAAGTTTGACTGCGTGGTAATGGACGACGAAACCTACGTCAAAGCCGACTACAAGCAGCTTCCGGGACAGGAGTTTTATACGGTAAAAGGAAGGGGAAAGGTAGCAGATGTTTTCAAGCACATGAAACTGTCAAAGTTCGCAAAGAAATATCTGGTTTGGCAAGCCATCTGTACCTGTGGCTTGAAAAGCAGCATTTTCATAGCTTCCGGGACTGTCAACCAAGAAATTTACGTGAAAGAGTGTTTGAATAAACGTCTGCTGCCTTTCCTGAAGAAACACGGTTGTTCCGTACTGTTTTGGCCGGATTTGGCATCTTGCCATTACGGTAAAAAGGCCATGAAGTGGTACGCCGCCAACAACGTGCAGGTGGTTCCCAAGGACAAGAACCCTCCCAACACGCCAGAGCTCCGCCCAATTGAGAAATACTGGGCTATTGTCAAGCGGAACCTAAAGAAGACCAAAAAAACTGCTAAGGGCGAGCAGCAGTTCAAGGCAAACTGGCTTTCTGCGGCGAAGAAGGTGGACAAGGTGGCTGTACAAAATCTGATGGCAGGGGTCAAGCGTAAGGCCCGGCAATTCGGATTTGGAAAAGCGGAAGCCTAACTGAATATTTTTCCTGAATTTTATACTAATTGAACTTGCAAAAGAAATTTAATTTGATTTTTTAAATAAACGATTTCACCGATTTACACGCGTTTTCCCTTGACCAAATTTTGACCGTATCACCCTTTATTGGAAGGATTTTACGCAGGCTTGATAAAAATTATGATTTCATGCTAATTTTCACGAATTTTATATGCAGTCTGTCAACATTATCATCATCATGCCGTGGCGACATCTGCGTCTAGCTTTTACGGCAATCTTCCAATTAGACTTTCATTATTCTTACACTGTAAATGCAGCATAAAAAAAGGAACATGATTCACGAATGAATAATATTGGTTTTGTCAAAAAAAGGAAGCCCCAAGAACCTTCTAGATACCACCGTCCAACCAATTCTTTCTTTCTGGCTCAAGACTTCGAGATAGTTAGTAGTGCGCGGCGTGTTCTTAAAAATCGAGTTAGTTGTCCGAAGTGAAAAGTGTAATTTTTGAGTAATATTTAATTCTTTTATTTTAGGAAAGTTTGTAGTATGTAGTAAGGAAGTTAGTGTTTCGTGTAGAAGTAGTGTTAGTAGTGTGTAATAAGGTAAAGAGTTAGTTATTTGTTAGTAGTGTATAAACTAATTGTTAGTGTTACCTTATTTAGGGTTCTGTGTAAAACAAAGCCAACGTGGTCCCTTTCCGTTAAGCGGGTCTTACACGTTGAAAATCGGAAAAAAGGTTAAGTTTTGTATGGTTAAGATTTCCAATTCGACGCGGAAATTATGGTGTATGTGTGTGGTTGGGACTAATGCCTGTTTTAATAGGCCTGACTAGGCCTTTTTCCGTCCGTTGTGCACAAATCGGACATTTATTTCCAGTTCTACTCCCAACTTGGACACACGTGAACGCTATACGATTCCCGGAGCCAGAAATCAACCCTGCGTGTACTCCCTTGGAGACAACGGCAGAAGCGGGAAATTCTCGACGTCCAAGTTGTGGATCCACGTTCGTTATCAAAATGGCGATGCAATAGACAATAAGTCCATTGTAGTCAGATCGACGCATGGTCAGGGAAACCATTGCTGTGGTCATTGTTAGTCGCCATTCAAGGATGCCATCATAACGCCTAAAACCACCGTAAGCCACCATCACCGTAAGCCACCATCACCGTAAGCCACCATCACCGAAAGCCACCATCACCAGCACCACCGAAACCGTAAGCCACCGTCACCGATAGTCGGTACCACCACCGTAAGTCACCATCATCACTACCACCATAGTCCCACCACCAAAACCGTAAGTCGCGCTGGTCCAATTATTAAAACACAAATGAGCATGCAAGAACAGAATAGTACGAAGACAAAACACATAAGTTAGTTGACATGTATAGTAAAAAGGAAACAGATAAAACACGTGATCACGTAGGATTTTGTATGTTGTAAACCATCAAAATAATAAATGTTCAAGTATCGAGGCATGATTTCTAAATTACACATTACAGCTTTGTTGATTTATTAAGAAATAGATATTTCTAGAATTTCACACATTTCTGAGTTATTCGTGTTTCGACGATGAAAATTCACCCAATGCTGGAATTTCCCACCCCTCGCTTTCTGAAATCTTTCCGATGTTAGATTTGGTGAAACTAATGTATCTAGTTGGATTCAACCCTGATGAACCTTTTAGCGTTCATGTTGTTCATGTTTCTTCTTTATGCTAGAAGGTGCACAGTTAGAAAAAAGTACCCAACGGCCAGTTCACTTTTACCTACTTTTGACTAGTTTGTCTCCTTTCCTCCCTTCTAATGTTGTCAAAAACGGAGGAGCAAAACCACCCAACAAGGGTTGTAAAGTGTGGGAACCCAACGTTGAGTAAAATCATATTTACCTACTGTTGGGTACAACTAACTTACTTTTGGGTTGAAAGCGAGTGGAAAATTCCATACGAATTGCACACAAGTAAATGAAAATTACTTTGACCCGCTTTACCTACTTTTGGGTTCCTGCACTGTAGTGCCGAGATGAGTGAAAAGAACTTAATTTTGGGTACTTTTTTCTAACCGTGTGCAGTGTCAGAGAGAGTAAACATAAAACGACCCTGTGAGCTTTCCTTTATTCGTTTGAATTGAAGGAGGGTACACTGAACCAAAACACCCGCCGCCTACTGAATGATTTTTGCCTCACCCAAGCCCCATGCTTATAATCAGATGATTTAAAGAAGATCGTCATTCAATTCATATTTTGACAGAATCAAGTCAAATGTATGAATATAATTTAAAATCAGCGTTATAATCATACATCAAACAAATCAAAATAGAACTAGATGTGAATGATTTGCATACATAAACTTTTAAACTCATCATTCTTAAAATGGAAGAAAATCAGATCGTTATTAAATGATGCCCATATCTATGTAGTTGGCTTAATAGAGGTATTTGCTTTTCAGAAATATTATTGAAATAAATAATTACACAACCATTTCAATCAGTTATAAGCATTACTAAGTAAAAATGTTGTTAAATACGGAAAGAATTAGCCACTAATCAATAAAAACGAAAAAAATGCTTTCTTTTCTACTGTTAAGATTACATGAGTCATCTCTAATGAAATGGTTGTATAATTAAATGTTTCTATAATATTTAAATAAAAAATAAGATATTTATTACTATTTACATGTACTTTATTACTTAAGTATAGATCTTAATTTAACTTAAATAAAGATATTAATACTAATTGATCTTCGTTTAAATTAATTCGTCATTAAATGTTATCAAATGCATACATTCTTCTTCTGAACATCAGTAAATTTTCTATCCGCTCAAGTGCAAATGGAGGACCATCGAACATATCTATTCCTATCATATTGATGCAGTTTTGTTTATACCCTATTTCATACGCTTGATAGTGCTCTTGATATTTTTTTATAGACCATTTACATACTATCAAATATAATTGGGTCTTATATTTGATGACATCAATGATTTGGTAAGCTTCTATGGTTGAATCAAAAGTAACTGTCAAAAAGTGACCTTCTTTATAATTCATATTTTTGTATGTTAGGGACTTGGTCGTTTGAATGTGTTCAAAACTAGCGATCATGAAAGTGGTTTTTAAGTTGTTAAAATATGTTTTTTCTTCCCACGTACTATCCACAAAGTCAGCAATAGTTTCCAATTTTAAGAAGCTATTGTTTACAACATCATACGTAAAAAGTATGCCTGCCTTAACGCACATCGTGTAACATGGATTTTTTCCGTGAAGATGTGTTATCAAAATACTGTTTGAAGTTCCGATGTCGTGCCTCATATCTAAAGCAACTTATTTTTTTTAGTGGACCACTGTGTTTAATTATTGTCGAGTAATGTGTTAAGAAATGTTGTTTTGGTTTGAGGCTTTGTTGAAAAAGTGAAGTGTATAATTTATGATGTTCGCTAACTAAGTGATTCAATTGATGCAAATCGTTCGAATTAAAAGCAGGTGCATTCACACTATCTATTATCCTGATCAAAACTGTTGCATATTTCCAAACTGGGTCTTGAGGATTAAAAAATGGTCCAACTATAAATGTAAAATATATACTAAATACATACATTTCATTAGCAGTCATTCTCAATGAGACAGATTTCTTCGACTTAATAGTTGTTTCATCTATATCTGGCATCCTCGACAATCCCTGTTCTAGCCTGTAATTGTTCAAAGACCTTCGTCTTTTATTTAGCTGAGTTAATGTGCAGTACTTCTTTTTATAGATGCAATGGTTTATAATTTCGACAAATCCATAATAGCAAACGCCAGTGCTGTACATATCATGCATGACATCAGCATACAGGTTCTCTACCACATGGAATGAAGGTAACTCGTTGAAAATTGAATTCGATACTAAACCACTACATGACTGTTTGAGTAGAATATCTAAATTATAATTTTCTACGGTACGAAGATCATCCTTGTATTCCCTATCGTCATTAGATAATAAATTTTTCGCTCTTCTACAAAATCTACAGTAATGATTTGCCGAAAATGAACCTGAGAACTTCAACAGTTGGTGAATACCTAAATTGTCTCCCTGCACGAGCATAAGTACAAGATGGACTCGTTGTTCTTCGCCATTAATATTGATTAAAATACCATTGAGTTCCAATTCTTTAAATTTATCTATCACATGGACCAAAAACTGTTCTATTCCGTGCTCATTTATATCAACCTTCTTTATGGCTCCTGCTACAAAAATATTACAAAGTTTCGCCCTATATTGCTCAGGAAGGGTAGGAAACCCATAATAGAGACCACAAATGCTATGTTTTTTCACGTGCGAACTAAGTGGGTCATTTATTTCAAACTCATCTGCGTAGAAGGAAATCGGAATGATTGATCTATCTGCATATTTAGATTTAATTTTTTGATATGTCAAACCATGGACAAGGTGGCAAAAAGTTGATTTCCCCATCAGAATCTCCTCATGTTGCTTTAACTCTTTCAGTACGTTATCGCTTTCGAGAAATTTTCTAATTTGGAACTCAATATCCATCAACACCAGGCACGCTTTTTTGTTCTCAAGCTCTTCATTATCTTCGCCAATATCGAACATCTTGCCACTTTGAACAATTAACTTCTGCGGTTTCCTCATTAAATCTAAATCTTTAAGATATTTGAATAGCTTATGTTCAGTATCAATAAAATCGAAAAGAGTAGAAAGTTTACTTAACATAACATCAAATATATACTGCGTCTGAGGATCAGCTCCTGCCGGAGCACATGTTCGAATGAGATGTTCTAGGTGAGTGTTCATCACTTTAATTTCTTTTTGAACATCTATTACATCTTTACGTGTGAAATTCTTTCTTCTATGCAGATCGAGCGTGAAACTGAGCGCCTTCTGTTCGATCGTCCTCAAGGATTCAGGTAGTATGCTTGATTTGGTAGCATCTAGTGAATTGTTTGCCTGCGTGCAGGTTGTTTCCTAAAATAAAAAATGGTGTTATGGTTCATATTTTATAAATTTATGAATGCCTTATCATTACCGTTTCAGAATTATTAACGGAAGTGAGATATTCCCTAATGGACCCATGGTTTTTCTCACAATCCATATCATCGTCTCTGGCAGATAAATGAGTTTTAAGATGTCGACTAAACCTATACATATTCGTTAGCTTTTGAGTACAATGGGTAAATGTGCATACTAGTCGAAGTGGTTTATCAAGATTGTGCGTTTTTAAGTGTGCAATGTAATCATTTACTCTGGTAAATATCTGTTGGCATCCGGTATAGAAACACTGCACTGAATTGCTCATTTTAGTAGCTTTTTGATGGTTTCGATTTCTTTGTACTGAGCGGGTGCTCGAATTTTGTACAGGACTTCTTCAACAGTATACCATACGAGTTTGGTGACCTTCGAAAATGGTTGGTTCATTACATTGCACATCTTGATAATTACATCTACCGCCCGAGCCGCTGAATTAATTTTGTACTGAATACGATCAAATAGGACATAAAACTCTCCAGATAGATTCCTGTAGCTGGATCCGATTGCAATAATTTTTGGGTGAGGAGCGATACCTTGCGCCGCATACGAATCAAACAGTTTATGTATACAATCCGAACCACTTTGCACAGTTTCAGCAAACAACAATATATCTTCCTGAGCAGTGAGTATTGTTGGCCTGACGCTTTTGTTTACCTTGCACGGTTTTACACAGCAGTTAAGTAAAATCAGCGTGCAGCATACAAGAATGTCTGAAACATAAAAGATATAAACAATTTATTTAATTTTTATATTTAATAACCAACCTTCTGTAGCTCCGTCTTGAATCATGTATTCAAGTACTGCTGTAGAAAACTGGTCACGTACTTTCAGAATAAAGTACGGTTTCAATGTTTTCACAACTTCGGGCCAGTTTTGGATGCCCTCTGCAAATCCTAGTGAATGATAATCGAGATCAATCTAGAAAAGCATACAATAAAATTATTAAAGAAATTATGTTTTTTTTTTATTTACTTCCTTACCAACTGATATCCGAGAGGTTCTGCATAGTGTCGATATTTTGTTATGATCTCGGCAGGTTTCAGCTTTTTCATATGATCGAATCGGGATGTTTCAGACATTTTCCACATTTTTATTACTGTCTCCCATGGCGTATTGTTCAGAGCAAGCCACCTGTAAGCTTCGGATTGTTCAGCACGATGAGGATTTCCATTATTTTCTTTAGCTGAGGCTAGTTTTGCCGCATGTTGTAGTTCTCTTTGTTGTCGATCACGTTTCATGCTTTTTATGCGCTTGTAAGCCTGGTAAATTGATCCTCCAGGATTTTTTCTTTCCGGTGGTTCAGCCGGAATGTAGTACGTTACCTGAAAATATGTAAACAAATATGTACACATATCCGTTAGAGATATAATTTTATTACTCGTACCATATCGTCTTTTTCAGTTGGGAACCGCAGCTTTATGCAGTTGACATAATTTTCAAGAACTGCTTTGGTAAGTCGGCACAACCCTACGTTGTTTCCTTGGGAGTGACGGGAAATGTGATGATTCGCTATGATGCTCGCAAGTTCTTTCTTGCTATCCTTGGACAGTGGCCCCTTCAAACTGCTCCGAAGAATGGATTGTCCAATTTCAGATGTGGACAGAAGTAAATTGAGGTCATCTGGTGCGAAGAAGGGAGAGTTGCCAATATCAGGTTCATTCTCCATCCTTGGTTGCAGGACTCCTGATGAAATCTGATGAAACACAATAATAAAGTTGAATTTATAACTTTTCATCTAGACATAATAACGTTAAAAACCTCTATAATTTTTTTTATAAATTATTAATGATTGAACAAAATCGATTTCTCATGAAAAAAATATTGCGTAGTGCGCCACCTCGTGCACCACTGTCTGAACTTTATTTAAATTCCACCGGATAGTTTTTGCATGGACCTATTTCACACGATTTTTTTTTAACGGTTTCTTTTAATAACAAAATTAAATTTTAATCCTGAGATTCGATCAATGAATCTCATGATATTAGCATATTAGTAAAATATTACCATTCGAAAACCCGGTAAACCCGCGTCGGATTATAACTCGTACCGTCCCATCGCGATGCTGTCCTGTATACGGAAATTGTTGGAGAAAATGATTCTTTTTCGTCTAGACAAATGGGTCGAGTCGAATGGTTTACTTTCAGATACGCAATTTGGATTTCGGAGAGGCAAAGGAACGAGCGACTGTCTTGCGTTGCTTTCAACTGAAATTCAACTGGCCTATGCGCAAAAACAGCAAATGGGTTCAGTTTTCTTGGATATTAAGGGGGCTTTTGATTCTGTTTGTATCGATGTCCTTTCGGATAAACTCCACGATAGTGGGCTTTCAACAATTATGAACAACTATTTGAGCAACTTGTTGTCTGAGAAATATATGAGCTTTTCTCATGGAAACTCGACAACTTCACGAATTAGTTACATGGGTCTCCCCCAGGGCTCATGTTTAAGCCCCCTTCTTTATAATTTTTACGTTAAAGACATTGATGGTTGTCTTGATGAAAATTGCTCGCTAAGGCAGCTTGCAGATGACGGCGTTGTGTCCGTTATAGGGCCAAGTGCACCGGACCTGCAAGGACCATTGCAAGATACCTTAGACAATTTGTCTACTTGGGCTATGAAGCTGGGTATCGAATTCTCTCCGGAGAAAACTGAGTTGGTTGTTTTTTCTAGGAAGCATCATCCTGCACAGTTACAGCTTCAACTAAAGGGTAGAACAATCACTCAAAGTATATCTTTCAAGTATTTAGGTGTCTGGTTCGATTCCAAATGCACATGGGGAAAACATATTGCGTATCTAAAACAAAAATGCCAACAAAGAATCAATTTTCTTCGTACAATTACCGGAACTTGGTGGGGAGCACACCCGGAAGATCTTATCAGGTTGTATCGAACAACCATCTTGTCGGTTCTAGAGTACGGTAGCTTCTGCTTTCAATCCGCGGCGAAAACACATATCTTGAAGCTGCAACGAGTTCAATACCGTTGCCTCCGAATCGCGCTTGGCTGTATGCACTCGACGCATACGATGAGCCTCGAAGTACTCGCGGGTGTTCTCCCACTGACAGATCGTTTCGCTGAGCTGTCTTTCCGGTTCCTCATCCGTTGTGAAGTATTGAATCCTTTGGTAATAGAACAGTTTGAGAAGCTGCTCGACCAAAATCCTCAAACAAGATTCATGAGTTTGTACTATGAGTACATGACGCTGGAGGTTGGTCCTTCTTCATTAATCTCCAATCGTGATTGCTTCCAAGCCTTCTATAGTTCCTCTGTAAATTTTGATCGGACCATGATGCAAGAAATCCATGGAATACCAGATCACCATCGGTCGATGGTTGTTCCCTCAATTTTTGCAATCAAGTACCACCATGTAAGTAACGATAAAAGATTTTTCACAGATGGGTCAACCATAAATGCTTCCACTGGATTTGGTGTATTTAATCAATTTCATAGCGCCTCCTATAAACTGCAGAAACCATGCTCCGTATACGTTGCGGAACTCGCAGCTATATTTTACGCAGTAGAGCGAATTGCCTCACTACCTTCTGACCATTATTTCATTTTTACGGATAGTCTTAGCTCATTGGAGGCTATTCGTTCAATGAGGCCGATGAAGCACTCCTCGTATTTCCTGCCTGAAATACGATCTAAACTGAGTGCTTTATCTAACTGCTCCTATACTATCACCTTAGCTTGGGTCCCAGCTCATTGCTCAATTCCGGGTAATGAGAAAGCGGACTCATTGGCTAAGGTGGGCGCTATGGAAGGCGATATTTTTGAGCGACAAATCGCCTTCAACGAATTTTTCTCCATTGCTCGCCAGCAAGTCCTCATCAGTTGGCAACAAAAATGGAATGATGGTGAATTGGGAAGATGGTTACATTCTATTCTCCCACAGGTGTCGAACAAACCATGGTTCAAAGGGTTGGACATGAGCCGCGACTTTATACGCGTTATATCAAGGCTTATGTCCAATCACTGCTCGTTAGACTCGCACTTCTATCGAATTGGGCTCTCAGGCAGCAATTTATGTGCGTGTGGCAGTGGTTATCACGATATCGAGCATGTTGTTTGGTCGTGTACCTTACACCGTGTTGCCAGATCTGAGTTATCCACATCCCTCAGGGCCCGAGGAAAACAACCCGCGATACCCGTTAGAGATGTCTTGGCGAGCCGAGACCTTGACTATTTGAATTTAATTTATGTGTTTTTAAAACGGATAGATTTGAGGATTTAGAAGTTAGTGTCATCTTGTGTTCTCCCAAGTTGTTAGCTACCCATCGGTGTACCCCCATGTTTGTCTTTTTCATCAGAGTGTCGCCTAGTTCGAGATCAAGAGCACATTGCTCTCCAAACCTTGTGTTCACAATCCCTACCCTGCCATCCATTTGTTACAATTTGTTACCCCTAACCTCGAGATAGCCGCGAGTAATCGGCCCCCGCTTTACTAACGTTAGTTTTAAGTAATTTTGTTATCTAAACAATGAATATCGGCTCCGCAAAGCTACAGCAAATGAGCCTGGAAAAATAAACGAATTATTAAAAAAAAAAAAAAAAATAAAATATTACACATGCTTGCTCCAGATAGTTGTTTTGCTTAGTTTATTGGTGGATAATAATGCTGAAATCTATCAACTTCAGAACAATCAGAAGTCATACTGAGTAGCAAATAATGAGTAGCATGAAATCTGAAATGTTAGTTGGGTTGAGCTGTCAAAGCTGAAAATGAGTTTTCTCTCAACTATTTTGATTGTTATTTATCATCAAAATCGTCTTAAAAATGCAAATTATGCATCCATGAGCCCCTCGAAATGAAATCAAAAATGGATTTTTTTTTTTCAAAATTTCATGAATTTTGGTACACTACTGGAAATATTTTAAGTAAGTACGATTAAATTTGCAAAAATCAACATCTTGGCGCCCCCGGCGGCACTTTGTAAGGGAGTCAGCTGTCAGTTTGTTAGTTTAATGTCAAACAGTGAAGTTATTCTTTTGCTTTAGATCTTGATTTAAAATCGAGGTGAAAGTGTATGGGTTCAAATAGAATATCACTGTGCTCAGAAAACGAAGCTCTTTCAAATGATGTATAAAAACCGATACATTTTTCAAATTTTAGAACCCCATGGTCAAAAATGACGTTTGACTTCGATATCGATGATCTATAGCCCAACGAATGGGAGTACAACTGGGGTACTAGTACTGGTCTAAATATAGGTCATAACCTAAACATGTAAACCTACTCTAACATCCCCGTAAAAGAATTTTATCAAGCAATTACCTCAGCATAATCTTGGTTGTGATGTACAGCGTGTCGAGCAGTGTGTGAAGTACTTAATACATCCTGCGTCTCATTGGATCCAATACTGCCGCTTGGTTCAGCATTACACATTACCATCGTGTCACAAGAACCATCTTCTTCAGCACAACCATCATCTTCTTCTTCTGGATCTTCATTAGATGATGTTCTGGGGTCTAAGATACCGGGTTCAGGCGGAACCACTTCTGAGAAAGTCATGAGATTTACTTCCTGGTGCGGCAGAGCATGTCCGTCTGAAGTTGACGGGTTTGGATGAGAACCTCGTTTATCATTGGTGTCGTCCGTGATCTGGAACACGTAAACGCTCGACTCTAACGGTGGTATGCAGGACTGATCCGGAGCAATTTTCTGCGTAAAAAAAAAATTATTCGAACTACAAGTTTTTTTTTCAATCAATCTTAATAATGTGTTTTATTTTGATATAACAAATAATACCTATACAATATATATTTATCAAATTCAGGCTAGGTCTTAATTAACGAATTAGCTTTATCTAATTAGTGGCAGATAAAAAGTTACCGGTAAAACCTGTTATTTGAGTGTAAAGTAATTGTTGGCTCCCTTGGACTATTTTCGGCAACTGAAATTCGAACGTTAATTCCAGTGAATAATCTCATCAAAACATATTTTTTAATGGATTGAAACGGTTCTTAGTGAATCAGTTGCAATTGTTTTTTACATTTTAACGACTAAGCCATCATGCCAGGTTTTTCATTAAATAAAATATGTGCACAACAAAATGCAACTGATCAACTTTAACTTTATAAAATTATGTGTTGTTTTTCTTGGCATAATAAAATTGAAAATTTGTTTAATCGAAAGATTAATTTCCAGTGACGCTAATGCCATGTACAAGGTAGGGAGTAGTAACAACCGGTGGAAACTAACGATTTTAAATTGGCTCAGTACTTGACTAGCCTATTAGTCCCAAGTAAATCAATTAACGTACCCCATTCTAGTCAAAATTCTAGTACTACAAAATGTCTGTTTTGATTCGCTATGAAAGTTTGACAGATGAAATGAGGGGTTAGTGGATTTTCCTATGTTTCGAGGGGTGAAACGATTAGCTTGAGACCGAAGATAGTACCAGAGCTGAGCCAAAAAGTTGAGGACGTTTCTTCGGGACCTACTAGTCTTAGAGTTACCAACAATCAATACGAAACTAACGATTTTAAATTGGCTCACTACTTGACTAGCCTATTGGTCCCAAGCAAACAATTAACATACCTCATTCTAGTCGAAATTCTACTACTACACAATGTTTGTTTTGATTTGCTATGAAAGGTTGACAGATAAAATGAGGGGTTATTGGTTTTTCCTATGTTTCGAGGGGTGAATCGATTAGCTTGGGACCGAAGAGAGTACCAGAGCTGAGTCAAAAAGTTGAGCACGTTATTTCGGGACCTTCTAGTCTTAGAGTTACCTCTATGGAGTTACCTCTATGATAGAAGTATGCTTGGACTTGCCACACAATTACACCAATGCACCAATGGTACAGGCATCGAAAGCTCTCAATTTATACCTGTGGAAGTGCATCTAGAACACTAAGTTGAGGGCACGCAATAAGCTAGTATGCAATATACAATAAGCGTAAAATGCTATGAAGAAGAAGAATAATCCTTTCTTCTTCGAGAAATCTAAGAATTTCTTAAAACTTTATTTCAAAAAGTCATGGAGTTCTGCTTGGAACTATCTTTGGTGTTTTTTCCTAGATTTTTTAAAGAATCCTGGTTAGTAAATCTTTAGAATAAAACCTTAAATTCCTTTCAAATTTACCCAAAACTTTCCTAAAATCTATAAAAAGTTATTTGTAAATTTTTCACAATACTCTTATGGCGGTAAGCTCCAACTCGGATTAACTTTTAATACCGTCGCTGTTTGTATGATCTGCAAAATGTTTGCTCAAAGTTATGTCGATTAACTCTGATGTCGACATCAAACCAGCCGGACATTCTTGATTAGGATTTAATACGAGGATAATACCGGCTGGAGCTTACCACCATTAATGAGTATTTTTCTCAGTTCCAGATTTATGAAGAAAACAAATTCCAATTCTGTTTCTTTATCTTTTACACGAAGATTTTCATAAGTCACAAAACTCTAAAAAAAATCAGTCCTTAACTCAAAATTAGCTGAATAACCTTGGAAGTAAATCTTGATATTTTTCAAAATTAATGTTTTTGTATGCGTATAGGCTACGGAGCGTTAAAATATTTTCTTGCTCCGAAATCTCGAAGAATTTCTACTAGATCTCATTTATATCAACTTTAAAATGTCTAAAAAAAATTCAAAATCTCACTGTATACAGTTACCTCTATGGTTACACCCATTCAGTTGACTTAGATGCTGGACTAACTAATTCATAATTATTATTTGCTCATCCTCAATTGCGGGATGAACAACTTAGGTAATGGATTAAAACCTGATTTTAAAGATTGCTTTTTTTAATACAAAAATGCTATAGAAGATGTTTTTCCCAAAAATCAATTCGAACATATGTAATCATGAACACTTTAAGTTTTTGTTTAATACAGTGAACTCTCTAAAACTCGATAGTGAAGGGACCATTGCGTTATAGAATCACATGAAATTAATTTTTACTATGGTTCTATAAATCGATATCGAGTTAGTGGACATCAAGTTATGGATTGTTGACTATATTAAAAGCGAGAAATGTTTGGAATTTCCCTTGGAAAACCGGGAAAAATCAGGAATTTCATAATAAAAATTCGTTGGTCACCCTGATTACCGTCACCAGGTTAATAAAATTGATTTTTTTACGGATGTTCACGATCTTCCGGGGGACCAGCATGTGGCCATGAGAAATTCAAATACTCATTGCAGTTCGTAAATAATTTTTTGAAGCACAACTTTTTTGAAAAAATTGTTTAAAAATAATAAATAAATAAATAATTTAATATTTTATATTTTCACTATTGACGAGCGAAAGCTTCTCTTAGGCACATTGGAAAATCAAAGCTATATTTGGTCAGGAAGTAGGTTGGTGCAATAGCTTCTATAATATAATTTGATACAGCCACCGGAAGCAGTCAATCCTCCCATACCGGTGAACTATATGCCAGAAAAATTGACCACTTTGTCAAGCAGTTTTGGCGTGACTTTCTACCAGCGATTTCACAAAACCGGACCAACTAATTTCTATTTTTTTTATAGAACGCACAAATGTTAGCTACTTTTCTCGAGGTTCTAGAAGAAAAAATCTCAAAATAATGTTTTATTTCAAAGTTCGAGTGGTAGTAAACGTCAATTTAAGCTGCTCGAATGAAGTGGTTAATTGACCTGAATGTTCTAACACCGTTTCTACACCACCAGCGACTTTTTTTTTATTTCGTGCTTGTTCATCAAAACAATCGGATGTACCGTAAAACGGGGTATCTTTGATAATGCGGGTAACTTTGATAGTATAATATAAAGAATAAATTTACTCGCTGTGCTTTTTCCAAATAAGAAACATTGGTTCCATACCCGCATAAACGCGAACCTTAAATTGACCTTACCTAAAATGGCTAAAAATTGTTTATAATCCCTGCTAAACTTTAACTGAAATGGTTATGGAACATTACATGAACGTTTAATGATAAAGTTTCAACCTTATGTATTATGGTTTTTTGGAACTGGACCTTACAAATAATGGATTGTTAAGAACCATTACCATTCCAAATTCTTGTTTTCTCCATACATTTTCAGAAAGAGAACTATATAAGAACGTTTTTACTTATGATTGGAGAACATTAATGGTAATGGTTATGGTAGTCAGTAAGGTCCATTAATGGTTTTGTATTATCGCTCAACTTTACGTGGAATATATCGTGAACATTTTAGGTAAGGTCAATTTATGGTTCGCGTTTATGCGGGTATTGTAGCGTAGGGTATTTCCGTTGATATGGTATATAGTTTATAAATAGTATGTGTTACATATTTTACAAAACTATTAATAAACCACTTAGTGTTTTTCGTCTTTTTCAAAAAGCACTTAAAACATGACTTATGAAATGTATTTCCGATATAGCCATCACAAATTCAATGTTGTATTATTATTGCTAATGAAGTTTTCTGATTATATAGTCATTCAAAGTTTCATTTTGTCTGTGGTTTCATATTTAAAGAACTAAATTGTTTGAGTTTCACTCATTTTTTTTCTACATTCATCGAGCATTATCAAAGTAACCCCAAATCAAAATACTGAAGTTCGGTCACAAAACTAAAAAAAATAGTGCAAATTTTCGTTCAACATATTACTAACGAATTAATTCTTGGATCCTCAGCACTTGTTTTAAACAGTCATTACTGTAAAAAAATATTTAGAATATACTTTAAAAAAAACTATCAATGTTACCCCGTTTTACGGTACCTGTTTCCGATATTGGTTAATTCTGTCGAGAGTTATCGGTGGCTTAAACTCAGGCAAACTTAGAACAGCTGAAGTAAAGGGAACTGCTACCACTGCTACTTTGATTGAATTTACGAATCATCATTTCACACCTAAATTCTTATGTTTACAATCCTGGACAGAAGAAATCTATTGACAACGGAACGTCAGCGGAAAGTGCTTGGTTACAATTACCGCTGATTAAAAGCACGAGAATTGATATCGATGATTTTAAAGCTCAATCATAGAACTAGAATATCAAATTAATAGTATTGAACAAACGTTGTCGCTAATTATTTACTGAAAGTATTACATTTATCAATTTACTTGCAAGTTTTACAAGCTCTGATAATCGATATGTAAATATCTATTGAGGCAAACTATTGTTATGATTGCCTCGATGATTGCTGCACGGTTCAAAAAAGGTACTTACTTCGGCCAACAAAAGAAAAGACTTGTCAGTTTTTGCTGACAAAGCTTTGGAACACCTTTCAAGCTGAACATTGCATTAGGTTCTAAACATTGATCGATTTTCTTCGTCAACTTTCTCTTTCGTTAATAAGTTGAGCACAGAACCGTTTCTTGTTGTGTTTGTCATATTAAATGTTAGATAAAAGCTTATTTTATCGATCTGTGTACTGAAAATACCTGGTAATGTCTTTTCATGGCCGTGGGGATACAAAGAGAAAGTCGACGAAGAGAATTTGTCAATGTTACTTAGGATTGATTGCTTGATTAATCTTTATTAAGGAGGCTTTCAGCCTGAGGCTGGTTCGCCTCCAAATCATGTTACTTAGGACATCATGCAATGTTCAGCTTGCTTTCCTTGCAAAGCTTAAATTCCACCCACGCAAACCAATAAAATCTTGAGGTCTAGCTTGGGGTAGTCAAAATTATCACCTGCGTGACAATGCTGTTATTTGAATGGGTGGCATTTACGCAAGTTTGGTTTGGTTGCATGTTTGGTTACAAAAACGGGATTAGGGATGTTTATTAGTGCACACATAAACTTTAAAAAGCAGTTTCAGTATAGGCGAATAATTAATTATATGATTTGAGTAGTAGCTATACTAAAGATCCGAGAGATGTCGCCCCTTCAGTGGTAGGAAAATAGTTTTTTGCAGTATGGAGAATATCAGAAAATCCACGATTTGTGATTAAGCATGCTTTCACAGAAGGAAAGAAATAAACGAGTGTTTACCTTATCACCATAGTAATGTACTCGTGCAATTTTTGTGCATCTAAATCTGCTCATAAAGACGATAATGAATAAAAACTGAAAATTTTCATGCATTTCCAAATGGTTTCCTACCATTTCCATACATTCGAAAGTGAATGGCCCTCTGAATGTGGATGATGTCAAAAACAACAAAACATGATTAATTGAATATATTAATGTTAACTTATTTTCTCGTGCGCGCTGAGCACTGGTTATGTCGTTTTCGGATATGAGATGTAGTTACACCTCGAGTTACACCGAGTCTGCAACGTCGTACACCCACAAATTTAGGGTGTAGATATCGAGTGAACAAATTATGATGAGCTATCAATAAATCGCGCTTCTTGACGCTTACACTACACTAGTACTACACCAAGACAAAAGCGACATAAATCACACCTTCAGCCATCACACATAATAAAAAGTGAGGTTATAATTACCGCTGCAGTTTTCCACGCCACTATCCGACGGAACACTTCCAAGCCTTTGCCTTCCAATCCGGTGCCTTGCAAGACAGTTTCCCACTCGGTTTCGGTTAACGTACCAAAACATTCTGCGGGGTAATGTTTATCTATAAAACATAAAGAAACTAGTTAATAAAAAATATGAGAAATATTGAAACAAAGGACCAACCGAACAATGCAAGAACTGTGGCTACGGGTATACCAATTTGCGAGGCAACGGTGTAAATGTGGTAGAATTTCTCGTCTACCACTCGAGTATTCTCGTCCATGGATGTCATATTATCACCATCGAGATCACCATAGTCTAATTTTTCACAAATCACTATTAAATCACTCTAAATTTTTCACCAACTCGCGCAGTCACAATGTTGTTTGTTCGCCACCATTTGCTAACTGGTATGAAGAATAACCGAAAGATGACGATAAACCTGAAATAGAATGATTTTCATAAAGGGGCTATGAAGAAATATATTAATTTTGGTTCATGATGAAAAACATACGTTTAATGTGCCTGTTAATATATGACTGATTATCGGATGAAATAGAAAAAACATTATTTTTAAATGTAAACAAAAATAATTTATTGCTGATTATAAAATCATTCGACTTGATTGTCATTCAATCTCAGGAATCATTAGTTTTGCTTGACGCTGAATGAGATTTCATTCAACGGGCGGCGGGTGTTTTGGTTCAGTGTATAGAAAGGAGTAACAAATTGGCGCCCAACAAAAATATAATAATTACTTTCAGAATCGGTTACATTATCTCACCACTCCGACTGCGGGGAGGAAAAACAGAAAAATCAGTTTTTATTATTTTGCGTTCTTCAAACGGCAATTTAGTTTTTAGCAATATTTTTCTAAGTATGTTGCATGTTATATTTGGGAGGATTCGAAACAGATCAATTAATAACAATGAAGGACCCTTGGTCTTCACTAAATCATTTTATAAGTTTTGTTGCTGTTCATTCGTTTGTTGATATTCATTCGGTTAGTTGATATTTTCGATATTTTCGTACTAGCTAGAATCAAACGGAATCGATGTTGTTTTGCAGATCTGAGAAGTTTTCTAGGTTGTTGGAGTTGTTCCGGATGTAACGAGTGGGCCCTAGAATCTATAAGCACAAACGAAGTGACAGACGGAGCGGCTCGAAAACTTTGGTGACTAACCTGCTATTGCATTTTTTCAGTGTACCACATGGCAACACCACTACTACTGGATTGTACCACATGGCAACACTACTACTAGATTGAACTAGCATTTTCACCAAATGTACTAGAATGTTTTGGTTCTATCTCTTTCACTCTACTCAAAACTGAAATGCATAAAAAAATTACAAAATGATACGCACTCTTTGCACACTGTCAAAGAATCATTGTACACAAAATCAACTTTGTTCAAATCAAAACAAAAAAACTAACCCATCTGGTGGATGATGGCACAAGCTTCCAAGAAAATTCTATTACAGTGAACCACATTATTTAAATGGATTTCATCGCCAGTTAGTCGTCTGTCACTTCGTTTGTGCTATAAGGCTGCGTTGAAAACCGTCCTGGAGTCCGATTAAACCAAATCGCGACTGAGAAGGGTGAGTACAGTTGGATATAAGAGTGAGTCTGGACAGGGCACAGACGTTGATCTAGCCACGATTCGAACACTCGTTACGTCCTGAAAGCTCCAACCACCCAAAAGATTCACAGTCATGGATTCTGAAATCCAGATAAAATATCGAACCCTTTTGGTTCACCATCTGGAAAAGGAAGAGGTTGAATTTGAACTAGAGGTTAGAGCAGTTCAATTCGTCAAAGATGAAAGTTTGTCGGTAATCAGAAGACGTTTGCGGGAAAAGTTGAAGAGGGAAAGAGGCGATCCGGAAGAAGTCGATTTTGCAATTTGTGAAACTCGTACGGTCGATGGAGAAATTAGGTTGATCGATGGAAAGATTAAGGAAATTCGAGATTATTTGGAAAAGAGGAAGGAGTTCGAAGGCGTTAGGGAGGCATTAGGGACACGATTAGTGCACTATTTTGCTCGATGTTCGGCCATTCAAAGTGCCGCCGAAGAGGAAATTGATCTAGAAGATCTGGACAGGCTTCTAGGTACTATTCGTCGGTTGTACAGCACATTCTTCACTATGTTTTCTCCGATTGATTCGATTCGCAAGGAAGTGATGCTGCAGATTACAGATTCCCTGACCCAGTTACAGTTAGGTCTTCCAGTTCCTTCGAATGTACAGCGTGTGTCACAAGAGACACAGACAGATGATACCGACGGGGAATCACGGGTTGCAGAAGGATCAAAGCCGTCAAATTCAGGTGCTAGTCAATCGCGTCGTCTGCTCCGGTCAACTTTGGAACAACCAACTTCAGATTCGTATGTTTCACCCAGTATTGCAAAACCGTCCGGAGCAAGAACAGTTCGCCAGAAGTCTAAGGAACGTATTCTGAATATGGCTCCATTATTGTTGAGTGTGCAACAGGATACAATGTAAATGAGGTGAAAAAGGGCATTGAAAGCAATTTGGGTGAAAACTACAACGCTGTTGTTCCCACATCGGTGCCAATGTTAAAAGTGGTGGGCATGAGCGATCAGTATTCCTCCGATGTCTTCATTGACTTCTTAAAAAGTCAAAATGAAGACATCGCAATTAATGATGTAAAAGTAGTTAACATGTTTGAAAATCCACGCTTCACTTACAACAAGTTTAGTGTTGTGATTGAAGTCGATATCGAGACGTATAAATGTTTGTTATGTGCGAAAAAAGTAAATGTAGGGTTTGATCGGTGCTCGATAGTTCCCGCGATTAATGTTTTGCGATGCTTCAGATGTGGAGAATTTGGGCACAAAAGCACGGATTGCAAAAATTGCGAACGATGCTCTAGATGCAGCAAACAACATAGCACCTCTAAGTGTACGTCAACTGTATTGAAATGCGTTAATTGTTTAAAAACTAATAAGGAGCGTAAATTAAATCTGGACGTCAACCACGCAGCATTTAGTTCTAATTGTTTTGTGTATAAAAAACTATATGATCAGAAAAAAAGCAGCTTACATTTCAATAAATAGCAATCAAGTTCCAGTAGTAATGTGAGTAAATTAGAGATTTTATATTTGAATATTGCGGGGTTATCTACAAACTACGTAACATTACGTCAGATTGTAGAAGAAAATCGTCCACTTTTGGTTTTGTTAGCAGAAACACATATTGTAGAAATTGAATCTTTTGATCAGTATAGCATTCCGGGATATAAAGCTGCTGCTTGTTTGTCACATTCGAGGCACACTGGCGGTGTTGCTATTTATGTCAAAGAATCAGTTCAATTCAATATTCGCCAAAACGAAGTTATTGATGGCAATTGGTTCTTAGGCATTACAGTTGAACGTGGCATGAAGATGGGTAATTATGGTGTTTTGTATCATTCTCCCAGTTCAAGTAATCAGCGTTTTATTGAAATTTTAGAGAACTGGTTCGAGACATTTTTAGATTCTAGTAAATTAAATATACTTGCGGGTGATTTTAACATTAATTGGCATGATACTAGCAATTCGATCCATCTGAAGCAATTAGCTGATTTCTTTAATTTAAAACAATTAGTAAGTGAATGTACGCGTATTTCCCGGCACAGTAGAACTTTGATTGACCATGTTTATTCTAATTTTGATTCTGTCAGTTCAGTTACTCAAGCTGATTTGAAAATAACCGATCATGAAACTGTAGTAATTAATTTCTTAGACAGTGTTAACGATAACGATAATTTTGTAAAATTGAAGTGCTGGAGGAAATATTCGAAGCAAGCTGTTTCGAATCTTGTTGAGAGAAGCGTGGATTTTCCATTAGTTACCGGAACTTTAGATGAAGATGCAGCTGTTCTTACTAACGTTTTGAAAACTTGTACCAATAAATTAGTTGAACAAAAGTTTGTTTCTTTGAAAAACTCGAACAGCTGGTACAATTTGGATCTTTTGCGTCTTAAACGTAAGAGGGACAAATGGTACAAAAAGTTTTGTAGATCTAATAGTGATAATCATTGGAATAGGTACACGGTCGTGCGTAATAAATATTCACAATCGATTAAGAAAACTCGATGTGAATATATTCAGAGGAAAATTGATCAGCATCAAAACAACAGCAAAGAGTTATGGAAAATTTTGAAATCTTTGATGAAGCCTAGTAATTGTAAATCGCGGACCATAACTTTTGATGGCATATTAGAACAGTCAGAACAAGTAATTGCTTCTAAGTTTAATGACTATTTCGTCGAGAGCGTTTCACTGATCAATCAATCTATTGAACTGATCAATGAACCGGACGAAATAAAACAGCCGATTAATAGTAATTGTAGATTTAATGGTTTTCACCCAATTACATTAGATGAACTTAAAAATATTTGCTTTTCATTAGGAAAAACGGCTGGAGTAGATAATGTTAATGCTAGAGTTATTCAAGATTGCTTTCATGTCATTCGACACACTCTGCGGGACCTTATTAATCAATCATTGCAATCTGGGCACGTGCCGCATATTTGGAAAGAATCTTTAGTTGTTCCTATACAAAAAGTTGCTGGGACGATTAAAGCCGAAGAGTTTCGTCCCATCAACATGTTGCACACATTAGAGAAAATTTTGGAACTTGTTGTAAAAGGCCAGCTGTTAGAATATTTAAATAGTAACTGTTTGTTGATACCGGAACAATCGGGATACCGGGAAGGCCATTCTTGTGAAACCGCGTTAAACTTAGTGTTAGCTAAATGGAAAGAAAATTTGGAGCATAAAGATACGATTGTTGCTGTGTTTTTGGATCTAAAACGCGCTTTTGAGACAATTTCTAGGCCCTTATTGTTGAGAACAATCAAGCGCTTTGGAATTTCGGATTCTGCATACAAATGGTTTGAAAGCTATTTATCTGACAGAACACAAAGGACTGTTTTTAATGATTTTGTATCTTGTCCCGTTGACAATGACCTTGGAGTGCCCCTTTTATTTATTATGTATATTAATGACATGCGACGAGTTTTAAGGTTTTGTGATATTAATCTTTTTGCTGACGATACTGTGTTATTCATTGCAGCTAAAGATTTAGAAGAAGCCGTTTCACGCTTGAATGAAGATTTGCGTTCTCTAAGTAGATGGTTGAAGTATAAACAATTGAAATTGAATATAAGTAAAACTAAATTCATGGTAATTTCGCGGAATCGTGTAGATGATGATGTCTCTGTTGTTATTGATGATGAGACACTTGATCGCGTTCAGGAAATTAAATATCTTGGCGTGATTATTGATGACAAACTCAAGTTCAATTCTCATATTGACAATGTCATCAAGAAAATTGCCAAGAAGTATGGAATCCTATGTCGCTTGAAAAACGATTTAACTATTGGTAGTAAAATACAGTTATACAAATCA